GAATTTCTTTTCTGAAGTTAGAAATTTTCTTAAAGGATTTATCAATTTTTAGAGCATCATGCCCAGTCATATAACTCTTCTTTGGGAGATAAATGTTTTCAGGTGACATTGATACCAGTGGTGAGACAGGCCCTCTAAAACGTCTCTGAAAAATATATCCTTGTAAAAATTATTCAATTGAAGTTTGTGGAAATTCAGTGGTGGAATCAATAGTTTCAAAGCCAAGAACTTCCTGGTGCTTCTGTGCTCTCTCTCTCTCTGGAATCCACTGTCTCAGGGGTTCCTTACCTCTAGAAGTCCTGCATGCTGGGGATGCCTCTGCCACCCGTGTGATCACTCCTCACCTTTGGATTCATAGCCAGAAGGCTTCAGAATTGATATTGAGTATTAGGCTAAAGAGCAACCAGGTAGTGAGAAGGAGAAAGGTTCAAAACCAACAAGCTGTAGATGAAGGATTCTGAGGGTGCTAAAATTTAAGCTGATTGAACAGAAAATTTTGGACTCTTTATGAACACATGGAATATACATATAGTCCATGTGGTACCCAAACTGGTGGTGATTGGATACCAAGTATCACCACAGTCTGCCTTGTTCTTGATGATTTTTAACATCTTTATAAATTTTAAGCATTTACTTTTGGGCACTGATGGAGATATGATACAGAGCTTGATATAGGGCACTGTTTTCAATGGATTTTTGGTCCAGGATGGCTGTATTTGGGTTTTTTTTTAGTATAAAAAGTCAAGCTGTCCATTGATTTAGGATACCAGAGACATTTCTGGAAAGACAAAAATTTAGAGATCCTAATTTTGATAACTTTAGTGACTGGCACTACAAAAGTCATATGGGTACCTGAGACTTATATTTATCACTGCTCAGATATGAAAAACCAGGAAGATAGAGTTCTGCCCTGTTGAAGTGAGTGGGAATTTTACCCTTGATATTTGTAGAGCTGGGATTTTATTTAATGCTCTCATATTCCATTTCTCGCACAACATGAGCCAGGGGACACAAGACTGAAAGAACAGATTATGGCTTTAGTTAATACAAAGAAGTATTTCTCCATGCAACTGATTATTTTAGATTATATTTGGAAAGTGTAAACTGCAATTAAAAATCTTTCAGTCTTGCTGAGCAAATTTATATCAACAGTATGCCTTTTTATACCGAAGGGCAGAAAAGGACTGGTTAGAAAAAGGAAGTGCTTCTTATTTGTTATAGGTGGCTATTTTTTTCTTGTATGTATTTTGGAGATTTGGACGTGATAGCAAAAATGTGTGCTAATGTCTTTACAAATAATTTGGTGGGTGAAGATAAGGGTGTTAACATCTTTAAAATCAGTCCTGATGTCTCTACTGACTTTGAGCAGCAAGTTTGTTACCAGACCCAGACAGTTTGGCTCCTGAAAGAGACAAGGGTCTGCACAAGCCTGAACTTCTGAGTTTTGGGATAAAATAGTAAGTTCAAGGGGGGGATAAAGAGTAGGTGGTTCAAGAAGGCTGTACTTTCCTAACGGGGGAAAGGAAGAAGGCAACATACGGCTGAGAGTTAGGATAAAAGGGAGGCTGCACCCTCTGAAACCCCAAGTGAGAGAGAGAAAACCCTGTGGGCATGTGCCCAAATGAACTCTCTCCCTTTATTTGGATAAAGTTGAAGGATCCCTTTTTGGACATAAAACTCTGGTGTTTATGGATTTTCCTGACGGATTGGTATTTGGTTTAATTTGAGATGATAATTGGTTAAAATACACTTCCTGAAAACATGCAAACTCTTCTACACATAGGAAAGTAAAGGCAAAATATCAAAGTAACTGCTGTTTTATCGGCTGCCAAATCAAAAATTATCATGTAGACTGTGGTCCTTTTACAGAAATAATCATAAATATTTTTGATTCACACTGTGCTTTTTACCTCAAAAGATGTTCAGGTAGTTTACAAATGGCACATCTATTGCTCTACATGACAGTGAACTGCAGCCACAAGAAGTGCATGGTAACCTATATTGGTACTTCCTGGCAGTGGAAGGTAAACCACCTATAGCTTGAATGAATCTATAGGAACTGTTTGGGAAAGCAGGATGTCGCAATGGTGGGTGACAGAGGCACAACACAGCACTGGTGGATCACATGGCAGAGAGAGATTAATGGCTTACACAACTCTTATACACCCTATTCAAAAGACTCCACGTTCGAACCTGATTGACTATGAATGGCTACTAAATGCTTACATTCATTGTCAGGGATTGGCTCTCTGTGGCCAAACGCCTCCTTCTTTCAGGCTTCACAGATCAGCTGTTTTGCCGTCATAGCAGGATGTAAATGCAGACTTGAATCTAGCCAAGAGCTGAACAGCAAAATGCAAAGAATCAGGTAGGATCAGGTATCAAATTTCCGATGCAATTTGGTAGTTTTTTGAGCAGCTGGATTAAATTTTAACTAGAGCTGGGAAGAAACTGTTTTCATCTTGGAAAACTTGCAGGTCAAAACGTTTCTCTTTTCACCCCAATGTGATTAGCTCTGCAGTTTTGAATGGAGAGAGCATCCCTCTGCAACCAGCCCAGTTAAGGGCCCTCTCCAATGGTATGGATAATGTGGCTTCTAAACTTATTGGATCACTTTACCCTCCTGAGTGGCTGTCTTTATTGTTTGTTCACTTTGACCTAAATGAGCTTATCAAATTACTTCAAATGTTTGAATTAGTATTAGTTGGACCTTGAACAAGTATTGTAAGGTAGCTCCAGAGCTCTCAGCCACTGAATGGCGAGGCCATTTTCTCTCTGGCAATCTGTACAAAGTGGCCAAAACAGCAGTGAAGGAGCTCAGAAATGAACATCAAAACAGTAGCTTGCTGATCTGGATACTCTCCTGAGAAGAGAAATTAAAATATAATTATCCTGCTTCCTGTGTGAATACATGGTCCAAAACCAAGGAGGAAATAGGAGTGTCTCTACCTGCATTTTTTTAGAAGAATATTTCTCCTCCAACTCAGAAACCTGACTGAAACTTCATCAAATCATCACTGGTATCTTCCCACAATTTTTCTTTATGAATAAATGTTTTATGGCTTAAGGAAGAAAATTATGTCAGCAAATAATTATATTTAAAAAAAACCCCAAACCCCATAGTTCCAAATGTTAGGGCTCCTTACCTTTAATTTAGGTAACATTTAACTTTCTGCTTTCTAAATATAGTATGAATCATTCTCTGTGCTTTTACTGTCTTAGGAAGAGCATTGGAGCTTATACGATCTATATGACAGCCACAGAAAAATAATTACTTAAAAATATTTTATACTTGGATTACTTTCCTACCTTCTTTTGCAGAGGCAACTACGTGATGAATTTCAGTAAACTGCATGACCAGTCTTCACTGCAGCGGCTATAAAGTGCCTATAAGGAGCACTCTTTTATATTCCAGAGCTATCGCCTACACTTTTCAAAAAATAATTGCAGGTGCAAGTGTTGGAAATTTTATATGTAACTAGTTGTTTCTGTTTCAAAATAACGACTTATTAAAAAAGTCCAACTCACTGCTAGAATCTGTTTTCTTAATGAACTTGTTATGTATTATGAACATACAAATAAATAATAAAAATCAGTTAAAAAAAGTTATAGTTATAGTTAGTTATAGTTATAGTTATAGTTATAGTTATAAAAAAAAAAGTTATAGTGGAGGCTAAGGCTCTCCACTATGGTAGAACTAAGTGGAATTTAAATTAACTGCTGGAGTTCACTAGTGATTCTCTTCTTTACTTTGAAGAGAGGAGATTTAAAAAGTGCAGCATTCCTAACTGACTTAAGCTTTTGTTGAGAAACCAAGGTAGGGCTGAGGTTTATACCTTAAACATGACCACATTTACTGATATTTTGTAAACCTTCAAGTGTGCATAGAGCAAGCTTTTAGTAAACTGTGTCTTGGCTACTATTTTGATGGCAGTCTTCTTGAAACTTACTGTTTCCAAGTGGTTTTGATCCAGACATTTATGCATTTGCATCCATGCATTTATGTGGAATTTACATTTTTTCTTGGGAATGCAAAAATTGGAACATTTCAATAGCACATCTGTAGTTTGAACATGTATTACAAGAAAAAGAAAGAATTGCATAGATTTATGTGTACTGGAATCATTAAGATGTTGACAGGGGCTTTTTAGATGCCTACTCAAAACTTTGGCTTGCAGCTGGCCTTCTTGTGAAAACTTTGCTAACCTTTAAATTTTGTCAGGTTTTAGGATTTGCCTTCCTTTTTCAGTGGATTGCTTGCACGTGCTCTGAGTCAACATTTCTAAACATTACTAGGAAAAAACCCTACAGACATGAGTTTACAGACCATGATAAATGACAAGGAGAAGGAAGAGTTTGGAAGACTGTTTTGTGTGTGTGCATGCATGGACATCTTGCTCAGTTTATCAACATTATTGCTAAATTACATGTTGTTTTCCTGTGCTCTTCGTTGCTGATAATCTCTAGTTCTGTGCTCTCAGTTAGGTTTCTAGAGACTTGCTGTTCACATAAGTAGCAGATGATTGATGGTGTAATGTATTTGGGTCGATTCATTGTATCTTGAATTATTAAAACACACTGCTTCTGTTCTAAGAGCTGAAATCTGAGCACAATTTGCTGCAAGTCAGAAATCCCTATGAGTAAGAGGAGCCACAGAAACTGGTTGCAGCATAGCAGGGAATACAGGGAGCGTCAGTGGGTAGACAACAGCAAAATCTAACCCTTTATCTTTTTGTGTGTGCTACCTCCTACACAGAGATTTGACAGCTACGGCTGGCTTATTGACTTGGTAGTCTCTCACTAATTGACTGCCAGCTTTGATAGGGGAGCCTCTAACCAGATGAACTCCGAGCAGGCATGCAGGTAACTTGCCAATGAGAGTGTTTGGGGGAGGAGAAAATTCTTGGGTGCACGCCTCTCAGATCTGGCTCCCTGTAAGAAGATGTGAGGCTTGGTGTGTGTGCTGTCACACTGGCAGATATTCAAGGGCACCTAAGAGTGAGCTCGAGTGCTCTGCTTCCACGAGGGAGAGAAAGGCAGCTGCTGGAAGTACAGGCTGGCAGGATCATGACAGACCCAAGTAGCAGAAAGGAAGCATTTAAAAAATGCCGGAGTGCTACATTCAGTATTGATGGCTATAACTTTACAATTGGTGAGCCTGATTTAATTTATTTCATTTATTTTCTTTATTTCCTGTCTTTCTTAGTAGTTCCAGTAAGTACAGCTAAAAGACAACTGTTGTCAACTGCTGTATGCCAATATATGCCTCTAAAATGTACAGATGCTCTGCAATTTTTGCCTGCACTGGCTTTGCATTCTGTCTTCTGTATTTTCTTTTGCCCACGAAACTTGTCTTTGATATGCAGCCACTCTACATCCCTTTGCTGGGTTTTGGCACAAGTTCACCAAGATGTTTGCAGTACTTTTGTTTTGGAACCTTACCTCAGGAAAGCCTGGGCTCCAGGATTTCAGGTTTCCAGCTTGCTAGCTGCATTTCCTTCCTATGAGCCCAGAATGTCATTCTTGGGAACTTTGGCTTTCTTTGCAATACTTAATTGTTTACTTAGCCAGTGTTTCCAAATTCTGTAATCTTTTGCCATTTCTCACTTTGCACAAAGATATCTATGCAACAGTTTGCAAACATGAGAAGTAAAATTGCTGAGGCAATGAGAAACATTAAGGAAATATTAGGAATTTTAGGATGGACTGCTCTAGTTGTTTGGAGAGTGCTGTTTCATGTTTATGTTTGCTGTCTTAGGGAAAAGTGAGGCTTCTCAAAGTGAAAGGGCTTTTTCCAATAGACCTGGTACACAAAATTTGAGGATTCTCCGAGCAGACTTCTTTGCTACAAATTCTTATCTTACTAGGGTATGTGTATATATATGTACCCCCATACATATCCACATAGACCTTATAAGTAAAGCAAACTTACATCCCATTTGAGTTTTTAGATTAAATCCAAGTTAAAGCATATGGGTAACTTACTTGTAATAATCAACAGAAATTCCTGTTGAATACCTTTAAGAAGACGGAGAATCCACTTTCCTGCCATTGTGAAATGAGGAAAGTTTTTCCTGGGTGATACTAACATAATTGAGCCAGAATTTAATCATATAATGATGGATACAAGCTTTTATTGGTGTGGAAGGAGGTACCCGTTTAGTCCTCTGATTAATGGAGAATTTGTTTTGCAATCATTAACATCATGCAAACATTAAGCTTGTTGAAAAAAAATGGAGATATATGTTTCATTAAAATATCTTTACATAGTTAAGATATCTTAACTATCTGTTAATGTTAATATAACACTTTAAAGGTGAAACTGCCAGGCCAATGCTACCTTGGAAATTTCTTTCTCTGATGGGAAGGCCCTCCACAGGTTGTTGCAATATGCTCACTTTTGCACCCCCTATCTTAATCTCTTCCACTCTCAGCATCATTATTAGTGCTGGGTTTTTATTAGTTTGTGTCAGTCTGGTGGATGAACATTTTATTTTTCTTTGGGTGTGTTTGGGTTTTTTTTGTTTATTTTGGTTTTTGTTTTGTGTTTTTTTAAAATTCAGGAACAAACCAACAGTCTTTATTGCTGTCTTTATTGCTACTCATGCTTACAATACAACCGGACCAGTTTTAGGATCAAGCGATTCAGGGTTTAGAACTGAAGGTTGTCTTGGGTAATCAAAAATGTTACCGTATTTCGTATCTCTCCACGCCTAAAATTTGTTACTATGTCTTTAAGGTTTGCATGTCTCTTAGGGTTTGCAGGTCTGGAGCTGGATCATGGGGCAGGCAGGTGTGGTGCACTTTAAAAGGCTGGAGCAGGTCGGCAGAATCTCCTTTTTCACCTTTTGGCTTGCTTTCTCATCTTTTGCCACACTTCTTGGCTTTCACCTCAAAGCTGAGGTAGTGTGGGCAGAGGCTTCTTTTTGTGCTCTCTTTTGTGTGCTGGCATTTTGCTTAAGGCAGAGGCTGTTCTGGGGTGAGGGGGAAGGCGTTCTGCGCTAGCCACCTAGAAAAACAGCATTTCTGCCACCAAAAACTGTTTCAGAGTGAACTTTGCGAGCCTCTTGGCCAAGCTTGAGCTGGTGCCTCACCGGGCCAGCCCGTGTGGGTTGCAGAAGATGTTTCTCTCCCCGCACAGCACACCGGAGCTCAGAGGAGGGAAGCACCGGCACCGCCGCTGCACAGCGGGTGGCAGCGGGACGAGAAGGAAGGAGCGGGTGGTGGGGCTGACCCCGCACCTGCTGGCAGTGCCCATGTGCCGCTAGAAATGCTCTGTAAGCTCCTGCCTTCCCAGGAGGGTTTAAGGCCACGCTTTCCCCTTTGTCTCCCGGATCGTGTGGCTGCCGGGAAATGCTGCCGTCTTGGCCAGGCGCCGTTTTTGCTTTGTCTCCCTGCACGGAGTTGCCTCTGGCAGGCGCCATCTTGAAAGGGCTCCTTCGCCATTTTGGATTTCTCTTTGCTCTCGGGGAGTTCCTGAGGTTGACCAATTTTGTACCTAGTGATTACTGATTACAGGCTAGTTTTTGCCTGTTGTCGTTTTCTTTTCTAGTAAACTGTTATTTTTTTCCACTTATATCTACTCGGATTTGGTTTCTCCTTATTGGCGGAAAGAGATTGATTTAAACAATGGGGGAGAACTCATTTTAGAGTGATCCCCTTTAAATTGCCTTAAAGAAAGACTCAGATTTTTTTCTGCTTCTTAGAACAGTTGTTGCATTGCAGCTCCTGTGCTACTTTCTTTGGTGTGCATCTGTATTTGGTGCACACAGTGTATTGATTCTATGATCTGTGTATTATATAACATTTATTTTTATATCTTGGCAAGTGTGCATTGTATTGAATGACATAATGGTAAAAACTTTGTAAACATGCTATGTAGTATTACCAGCACTGTGTGGTAGACAGACCTAAATGATTCATGTATTTGTTAATCATTATACTGAAGAAAATAAATCTACCCAAGAAACCCCACAGCAACATTAGTGTGTCAGTGATGAGCTCAAATGTATTTTTTTTTCACCAGACAAGAATCCTGGTTTTGGTGTCCTGATGTTTTTTAAGAAATTCTTGAGACATGTTGAGCTGCTGCATCTGCTACTGTAGTATCAGCTGAGAGAGAAGGCTGATACCCTTGAGGAACAGAGAAATATTAGTTGGAGAGAAAGTAACTTCCCCTTGGGTGCAAAATGAATCGCAGTGGTTGTCAAGAAACGTTTGCAAATTATTGTCCAACCCTACCCCAGACAAAGTGGGAACAACACACAGGGAATTTGGGTAGGTCCATGATGATCTGTACTATTAGAAGGGAAGCATGGTAAAATTTTAACTTCTGTCTTCACTATTGTCACCTCCAGCTGCATGGTTGAGGGCACTGGAGAAGGATGTCTGGTCATTCCATTGCTTCTTTTGGTAGACTTGGCAGTGTACAGTTTGCAATTGGTCTCCATGGTCTTAAACATCTTTTCCTACCTAAATAACACTATGAAGAGAAAGTATTTTCATTGATTCACATTTATTCTAACTTCTAAGAAATCATGATCTTCACAGTGTTTTGATTACTGACCATGAGACTTGATGAAAATTTTAATGAAAATTAATGAAAGACCTGGGCCTAACATCGAACATGAAAGTATGAGGGCAGAGAAGAGGAGAGCTGCTTGCTGAAGGCTTGTGTTTAGATACCCTTGTGTCTCTGGAGTTGGCCAGCATCTGCTTACAGAGCAGAGCAAACTAGAGCAGCTTCTCAACTATTCTAATTTTCACCTTTGCTGCTTACCACATTGGTGTTGGGACACATTGTTGTGGGAACTGCACACTTCCCAAGGACTTTACAGATCCCTGCAGGAGAGAGGGATGTGCCATACCAGAAAGGCAAATACTGTGTGACAATACTATGTAGCTTTCTCCCATATGAAGAAACAAGGAAGTTGCAAATCCTTTTCCTCCAGATACAGCTGTTTTGACAGAGACTGAGGAGGATTGAGGTGCACTGGCCCAGTGAGGATTTTGAATATTCCACCTTTAAGGACTTCTTTCACTGGTAGTTGGTGGAAAGATTGGAGCCATTTAGTGGCTATTATATTTAGTGGGCCATTTAGTGGGGCTATTCAAGAACTGGAATCATGCAACTTAATTTGCTCGAGAAAGCAAATCTCAGATGAAGGCTTCAAGATCTTTATTTGCCATGGATTATGTCACCAAATTTCAGCGTACATGATGTTTTATATACACAAGATACTGTATTTGAGCTCTTGTTTGACTTTGGCTAAGTATTCCTCCACTAAAGCATAACAGAGAAGAGCTTAAAGCCCTTTTTTCCCCCTGTGGATTTTCTTATCACTGCTGTGCAAATGTGAGAGACTCTTAACTCAGAATGCTAGTTAAGTGTTACTTGCTGTTGTAATTGACTTTCTAGAGGCTGATCCACTGTCGTTGAACCTGGGAAAATGATAAACACAAATATTAACAAAAATATCTTTTCCTTCAGCACTTACTACATTTTTATGATGGAGAGCTTAACTTCAGTAAAACTCCAATTTTCTGCTTTTTATATCCGGAAGCATCTGGCAACACTGTTTGTCCCATCCAATGTATAAAAGAAACTTTTAAAGATAGATTTATAGAATGAAGTGAAGTGGTGAGGAGTTCTGCTGTAGCTTAAGTGCTTTGGAGAGGAAGGATGTGGCACTGAAACACTTAGTCTAGCTCACATCAATTTTTTATAAATCTTGTCAGTAATTTCTTTATGAAAACACTCTTTTACACTTTTTGCATGTAAAAGCTTTTCCTCCAGTTACTATGGAAGCCCTGAGTTTTGTTTTGTGGTGATTTTTTATTCAAACACAAGGTGTAAATAGGGCAGAAGGTGGAGACACCTGGCTGGAGATGAGGACACCCATTATCTTTGTGGCAGATCCTAGACCAAGAGTTTATCCATCTTCTGTGAAGGAAAGAAATGCAGTCAGGCCTCTTACAGACAACAAGTGATGGGTACACCCTACAGGGAGGGGCTCAATCCTACTGTGATGAGAAATAATGCTTCCTCTGCTTTTTTCCTCTCTGATCTTTGGCCAACTATTCCTGTTCCCAATGCTTTCTGAATTGATACAAAAGTATTAATTTAAAAATTCATATTTTCTAGAATCCCTA